ATCAGGAATTAAATTTTTACTAGTAAGAATTGAATTTTTACTAGTACAAATTGAATTATTAAATGTTCTAATGTCAATTAGCTTGATTTGCATGTGGATGTGAAGGCGGAGATAATCTGGTTTGTGCTTTTCTTAAAGAGACAACAGCAAGTACCACATATATTGTACAATTTAGTTTTCGGGAAAAAATAGTAAAGCTTGTACTTAACAAATCTTGCGGCATATTTAAAAAAATACATTAAAAAAGCTTTAAAAATGTGAATGTTTCACAACACTTTAAATGAAAGTGCTCCTGTCTCCTCTGTGACGTGCACACAAGATGAGGCCATACTGCTTGATCGTAGACTACTGTTAAACTCTGGCATTGGTGGTCCTTGGGCAGATTATGAGGAGATTCAGGCTAATCGAAAGAAACTTCCAGCAAGGCAGCAAAGGAGGCCTGCACAATGTTGGCATTATTAATTCTCTCATTGCTAATCTGCGTCGTATTGAGCACCATTTGAGCCTTGAAACATTCACAGAGTTGTTTGAGAGTCTGACTGCATTACAGTCTTCCATAACTGCTGATGTGCCAACTGCTTCATACTCTGCCTAGCGTAGTAGCACTGGTATGCATCATACAACCACTATGTAGGCCTACTGCATTAATTCAAACGACTTTTTTGATTAGTTCTATAACTACACTTTGAACATTGCCTGCGTTCAGTGTGTTTTTCTTATTGGATATTTCAGGTTCCCGTGGAAGACCCAGAATAGACGTATCAAGAGAACAACTGGAACTTTTATTGAACCAAGGATTTAAGGTGAAATCGATGGCACGGCTTCTTGGTTGCTCATCATCCTTCATTTATAGAAAACTAAGATCTCTGGGCATTTATGATTAGACAAAGATTTACTCCCGTCAGTGACAGTGATCTCGAACAGCACGTAAGAATGCTACATCAACAACATCCCAGGTCAGGTTGTGAGGTAGGAGGCTGAATTCCTAAGTTGAGGCATAAGGAAGAGTGTCACAGAGCAAGTTGAGGTATAAGGAAAACGATTGCCCCATAATTGCAGTTAAGCCATCCATCAGAAAATCTGTTAACCTTCTATGGAAAAACATAGCCTAGTTAATGTGTGTCTAATGTTGAGAACTGTCCTGGTAGATGATGAGGGGCTATGTTTCTGCTGCGGGTATATGTGTTCCCCGACGTCCAGTGCGCGACACGCTGAACAGAATCGATCCCGCAGCAGCTGCGCAAAAGTGGAGCAACGTTATTGCAAGGCACACATATCACGTACCGTTTACGAACAGTCTGTGGCACATCAACGGACACGTGCCTCATACGGTACAATTATGTATAACATATTTTTGTGCAATGAATTTGACATTTGACAGATATTAAGTCCTGACAGCACTGGGAATAATACCTGTGAAAGATGAAATGCTTCACAACTTGAGAAAGTATCTGAGGAATGTCATGGACTTTGGCTTCTTATACCCCTGGCACACCACAGTCTGCAATCCAGTCACCCAAACTGTCCTGAAGATTTTTCCATGTATTCTTTAATCTAAGAATACAGCAGAAGACAAGGCACAGAAACCAAAACAGAAATTTAGGCTACATTAAATAGTACAGTGTTTTAGGTTGTTCAACAAAATATTAAAGTACAAGATAAGAAACAAAGTACACTGTTCTTTTTTTCCCTCAAAGTTCATTTCTATAGAATTTAAAATGAGCTCTAACTTTGAAAACAACAAAGCAAAAAACGGCATAGCGTCAGAATACCTGCTGAAGCTTGTCCTTCACACACTTGTCTGGCAAGATGGAAATATCAAATCCTTCAAGATCTGGAGCCTGACCACACATTAACTGATAAAGGCTGGGTTGTAACGCCTTAACGCCTGGTCCCCCATGCAACAGAGACCAGGCAATAAGCTTCCCTCCAGTATAATACTTTCCCTTATCTAGGGCTGCCTGATCATAACAAAAAAAAGGTTGCCTGGGTGTCCCTCGAAAATGCCCAAAGTGGACTGCACGTCCTTCATTAAAAACCTACCACAGAGAGGAGAAGAAAACTGTTAATATTGTATAAAATTAACTCAAAAGGAAACATGCAATTGGGTCATCTTGTGTCTAACAGTAAGAAAAATGGCAAGGCATATTCTCTCTATCTAAACATCGTTAATGTTGGCTCCACAGTTTATTAGGGCATATCAGAAAAAACACCACTGTCAAAACCAATCAGCTTTTAGATAAAACTGTTGGACAAAGAAGCACCGATCAGGGTTGGGTCATAAAAATTAGCTGATTTATTCACTGATTTATTAATTTATTCAAGAATTCAATTTTAACTAGGAAAAATTTAATTTTTGATATCAACAATTCAATTTATACATGTGAATATTAGATTTCGACTTGTAATAATATAAATTTCACATGCAAAAATTGTAATTTTATGTGTAGAAAATAAAATTTTACTAGTTCTAATTGAATTATTACATATAAAAATTCCATGTTTACTAGTAAGAATTAAATTCTTGGTATCAACAAATGAATTTTTACTAGTGAAAATCTAATTGCTGATATCAAGAATTTAATTTTTACTAGTAAAAATTCAAATCTTGATATCAAGAATTTAATTTCTACATGTGAAAATTAAATTTTTACTAGTAGAAATTTAATTCTTATTAGTTAAAATGTTTCCCCCATTAAGATGAATGAAACTCATAAATTATCACTAGTAAAAATTCAATTCTTGCTAGTAAGAATTTAATTCCTACTAGTAAAAACTGAATTTTCACATGTAAAAATTGAATTTTTGACATCAAGAATTACATTTTAACTAGGAAAATTTTTTGACATCAACAATTCAATTTATACATGTGAATATTCAATTTTTACTAGTAAGAATTAAATTTTCACATATGTAAATTGAATTCTTGATATAAAAAATTGAATTTCTACATGTAAGAATTAAATTTTTACTAGTAAGAATGAAATTTTCACATGTTCAAATTGAATTCCTGATATCGAGAAAAAAGGGATTAAAAGCTAAAACGGCTTGCCATACAACTATGAATTTTTAGTAAGGGAAAATTGAATTTGTACTGGTAAAAATTTAAATTTCACATGTTAAAATTGTATTTTTATTTTTATATTGTAGAAAATATAATTTATAAGAGTTGTAATTGAATTATTACATGTAACACTTTTCACATGTAATAATTCAATTTTTACTAGTAAGAACTTAGTTCTTAAATAATAAAAATTGAATTGTTGATATCAAGAATTAAATATTTACTGGTAAAAATTTAAATCTTGATATCAAGAATTCAATTTCTACATGTGAAAATCAAATTTTTACTAGTAAAGATAATCCTTTTTTCTTGCTATCAAGAATTCAATTTTAACATGAAAATTCAATTTTTACTAGTAAGAATGACATTTTTACTAGTAAAAATTTTATTTTTACTAGATAGAATTAAATTTTCACATGTTAAAAGTAAATCAGTTTTTAGCCTAGACTTAAAGACTGAGGCTGTGTCTGAGTCCCGAACATTAACAGGAAGATTATTCCAAAGCTGGGGGGCTTTGTATGAGAAAGCTCTCCCCCCTGACATAACTTTATTAATTCTAGGTACTAATAGTGAGCAGCACCTTGTGATCTAAGTAGACGTGATGGTTCATAGTAGGAGAGAAGTTCACTCAGGTACTGAGGGGTGAGTCCATTTAGAGCTTTATAGGTCAGTAACAGAATTTCATAATCAATGTGAAATTTAACTGGTAACCAGTCTAGGTTTGATAGAACTGTGCTGATATGGTCAAACTTTCGGGTTCTAGTAAGAACTCTGGCTGCCGCATTCTGGACTAGCTGAAGCTTGTTAAGGCTTTTGCTGGGACATCCAGCCAGCAGGGCATTACAGTAATCTAGCCTTGAAGTAATAATTGCATGAACTAACTTTTCTCCATCCTGTAGAGAGAATGCATTTCTCAATTTAGCAATATTGCGGAGATGCAGGAAGGCTGTTCTAGTAATATTAGTTATATGTGTGTCGAAGGACAGATCAGGGTCTATAATGACACCAAGGCTTTTTACAGGTGAGCTTGATGCAACTGAGAAATTGTTAAGTTTAAGTGTAAAAATAGACACTACGATGAGTTTCGTCCATTGTGAATACTGGCTTTCTGTTTGCCAAAAACAGAGCCATATTCTCAGATGGTGACCTGGAGGCCACAAACATGGTATGTTTTCTGTCAGAATTCACTTCATTAAATCCCGGCCATTACAGTGAAATGCAGAGATGCTGCCTTAGGCAGCTGTGTCATCCAAGGGGTTAAACAAATTTTACGTTTTCCAAATTGTCTTGTGGCAGACACGCAATCGCCTCCAGAATACCACCATAAGCCATCCATTGCTTACTGTAATGGTTTGGTCACACGCACAGAATGCATGTCCAAGCAGTTGTTTACTATCATCATCCACCTACAACTGAATTATCTACCATTTTATTTTCTTTTGGTTTATTTTTCTTTGATTTGGCAGTGAGTAATAGGCATGTGGGAAAATGCCTAACAATAAGACAGCAATTCCAACAATTCCAAATACGGTCAACAGTTTTTACAGAGCCCTGGACAGCAGCTTTCTATTTGTGATTTCTAACTCCTAGTTCAGGAGAGTGTGTCTACCTGTACTGCCTTTCAGATAAAGCCTCTTATTTCACCTTTATTTGTGGAGCACATTAGACAACAAGACAACAATAAAATCAACTGGAATGAAAACATATGCATCTAAAAAAGCTTAAAAAAAATGAAGCTGGAGGTTCACCAAGCTGGATGAAGTTTGGGGGCAGCGGCATTCCATCACTCCTCCGGGGGTGCTTGCCTCTATGTGTCTAGTCTCTTCTCTAGCAGCTTTTTCCCTAAAGGGAGTTCCTCTTCTTTCCTCTATGGTGCTGCAGACAAGGCTCTGACTCATTGTGCTCCTCTGGGGTCAAAGGAGAGGCTTTTGACGACCCTGGCTCCTCAGAGGCGGGTGAGGCCGGTGGAATTGAGAAACGCTTCCAGAGTCAGGGAAAAAAAACTTTAAAAGATCTTATATAAATGAACCAAACATAATTTCAGTCAATAACCTTGTTTGATTTATCTGGATAAATTCATCGCTGAAACCATTTCTGACTTCACTCTGTCATTTTTGATACTTCATTAAGTCCAACTGCTTGTTTCTACACTCACTGTCCATTTTATCAGCTCCACTGACCATACAGGAGCACTTAGTAGTTTTACAGTTACAGACTGTGCTCCATCTGTTTCTCTGCAAACTTTCCCATACAGAGGTGTGGATGGTGAAAGGACGAACACTATGCAGCAGGTCTAAACATGCAGCTTTTCAAAACCCCCGAAGGAAGAAGAAACAGAAGGACAATAAGTGGGTGAGACAGGTGTTGCACCCACATTAGTGCAAGAAAGTCTTGGTGTTCAGCAGCTCTACAACACACAGCAAAACAGAATACACACTGATTTATCAGGATTACTGGACAGAATCTCACAGCAGACATGGACAGGAATAAGACTGAGTTGTTCAGCATTGTAAAGAAGGGGGGTAAGCTACATTTCCTTCGAAAACTGTTAGAAAGTATTACATCTGAGAAAGTGGCGCTTTGATTCAAGTTTTCTGCTCATAAGACCTTCTGCCTCAGAACAACTGCTGTGCTTTAGTTTACTTCTTCTGGGAAGATTTGTGTTGAGGTAATGCTATTGATGTGCATCTGACTGACACATTTAACACCTAATTGAAACTTCAGAGCACATTTTCTCTTAGTGTAAAAGAGAAATGATATAAATCAAGATATCATCACTGTCTGAACAAAAACTTGTATGTCCATTTATGTTGTTTGTTCTTTTCTTATATAACTTGAAAACAGCACTTGCACTTTACACCATGCATTTCATGGCAAACATAACAGATTTTAGATTTACTTCAAACAAAGCCTTAATACATTGACTTACATGGGTGTTTTTTCTTCTCCTGTAAAGTTTTTTGGAGATACAAGGTTTTGATCTGACAGCAATGATTGATAAGATCTGTAAGTAAAACCCTGAAATATGGCATTTTCTATTGCCAAACAAAAAGTCTGGAGTGCACAAAAGGTCAAAAAAGAAGGTCCTGTTTGGGAAAGAGTTGTGATGAACAGAGGAAAAGCCACATTCATTCTAAAAGCAAAACTTCTAAAAGCAAAAAAATAAATAAATAAATAAATAAATATAAAAAAATATATAATAACTATTATTTAAAATAACTACTATTAAAAAATAACTGTTATTAAAAAATAACTACATAGAAATTTTGAAAACTAGAAAAAGTGGTCACACTTTATTTGGATGGTCCCCTATAGATGACCTACAGATACTTATATTACTCATGAACTTTCTAGTGATACTGATTGTCACAACGTTAAGGTCAGGGCAAGGTTGGGAATAAGTGTAAAATCTGCCTAGAGGTTAGATTTAGGTTTAGGGGCAGATTTAATACAGTTTTTCACATGTAACTTCAAGTTCAGCTGCTTTTAACAGATATTTAGTTGAAAGTTAAAAGAAGACTGACCATCTACAAAACATCTACATGGGACCATCCAAATATAATGTTACCAAAAAAAGAGGTCTGAAGTCTTTGTTGCTGCTACATGTGGGCTGTAGCTCATTTCTCTGTCAGTCACTTGTCAGGGGTCCAAGCCTCGTAAGTGCATAGAACCCTATTGGAACTGCTGGACTTTTTCTTCTTCTTAATATTGTTCTTATTTTTAGATTTTCTATGTATTTTTAACGTTTTGGACAGAAAAGTGCTCTGGTATATCCTGTTAATTTATGGAAGTAAAACATGAGGTTGTTGTTGTTGTTGTTGTTATTATTATTATTATTATTATTATTATTATTATTATAGATCCTGATGTCCTATATGTTTACAACCCCATTTCAATAAAAGTTGGGACTCAAAATAGATTACAATGATATGCAAATCATGTAAACCTTTTATTCAAAGGAAAATACTACAAAGACAACATATCCAATGTTAAAACTGAGAAATGTTATTGTTTTTTTGAAAAACATATGCTCATTTGATACTAACAACACATTCCAAAAAAAGTTGGGACGGGGGTGTATTTACCACTGTGTTTCATCACCTCTTCTTTTAACAACACTCTGTAAGTGTTTGGAAACTGAGGAGACACTGCTGTAGTTTTGAAAGCGAAATGTTTTCCTGTTCTTGTTTGATAGAGGATTTCAGCTCATCATCAGTTCAGGGTCTCTTTGTTGTATTTTTCACTTCATAATGCACCAAATATTATCAGTGGGTATCCAGTCTGGACTGCAGGCAGGTCAGTTTAGCATCTGTACTCTTTTAATACAGAACCTCAGTCCATTTTAAAAGAGCTCAGGCCCAGAGAAGGTGGCAGTGTTTCTGGATTCAGTTTATGTACAATTTCTTCTTTGTGTTTTAGAGTTTTACTTGCATTTGTGGATGCAGTGATGAACTGTTTTCACAGACAGTGGTTTTCAGAAGTGTTTCTGAGCCCATGCAGTGATTTCCACTACAGAATCATGTCTGTTTTTAATGCAGTGCTGCCTGAGGGCCCAAAGATCACAGCCAGTAAATACTGGTTTTTGGCCTTGTCCCTTACATACAGAGATTTCTCCAGATTCTCTGAATCTTTTAATGTTATTATGTACCGTAGATGATGAAAAGCTAAAGTTCTTTGCTATTTTATGTTGAGAAACATTATTCTTGAATTGTTGCACTATTTGATGGTGCAGTCATTCACAGAGTGGTGAACCCCTCCTCATCTTTACTTCTGAAAGACTCCGCCTTTCGGAGATGCTCTTTTATACCCAATCATGTTACTGACCTGTTGCCAATTAACCACCAGGTGTTTTTTTTAGCATTTTATACCAGACTTTTTGTTTTTAAAATGGTCATATATTTTTCAGTGAGCAATAAAATTTCTCAGTTTCAACATTTGATAAGCTGTCTTTGTAGTATTTTCAATGAAATATAGGGATTTAAATGATTTGTACATCATTGCACTTTGTTTTAATTTACTTTTTCCACAGCGTCCCAACTTTTTGGAAATGGGGTTGTATTATAATGTCTTCACATATATTTATAGGCTTATTTGTTTGACAAAAAGATACAATAAAATGAAATCATAATCTTCTTCCTTTTGATAGCGTCTTACATCTTGAAGGGAGCCATCAACAAGAAATCTAAAAATATCAAGCTACCTGGTAATCCACTAATTCCTGATACTGCACATTCTGGATCAAACTGTGGCCTGAACTTCACTGACATAAGTTTACCAAAGAGTGATGACATACGTTTGCTAGAAGGAAACCTCACCACAGTCTTTCTCCCTCTCGTTTACATCAGTGTCTTTGTTGTGGGGTTGCCCACCAACGCCATGGCCCTCTGGGTGTTCCTCTTCAGGACGAAGAAGAAGAATCTCACATCCATCCTAATGGCCAATCTAGCACTGGCTGACCTGCTCTTCATCGTGTGGCTCCCACTGAAGATCGCCTACCACTTCAACCGCAATAACTGGACCTTCGGGGAGCCACTGTGTAAAGTCCTAGTGGGGTTTTTCTATGGGAATATGTACTGCTCCACTATCTTCATAGCATGCATCAGTGTCCAGCGCTACTGGGCGATTGTCCACCCGCTTTCTCAGAAACTGAGTAACCGTGTAACAGTCTGTGTATCTGTTTGTGTGTGGATTGTAGTCTGGCTCCTCACTGTACCACTCTACCTGTATCAGCAGACTGTTCGAGTCAGCAATCTCAACATAACCACCTGCCATGATGTCGCTTGCCCCAACCAAACACACTTCCCTGTTGGATATTTCCTGACCATGGGCATTGTGGGATATGTAGTTCCCTGCATTGTGTGTACAGTGGCATATTCGCTAATATTATGGTCTCTCAAGAAATCTGCAAATGTCAGCATCAACAAGCAGAAAAGAAAGGCTATAACCCTCATGGTCACTGTGCTGGTGATGTTCCTGGTCTGCTTCACTCCCAGTAACGTCACACTGATGGTGCATTTCTCTCTGCTGGCTCGAGGGATCGAGAACGACACTCATGGCTTGTACATCATCACACTGTGCCTGTCCAGCCTCAACAGCTGTCTGGACCCATTTGTGTATTATTTTATCTCAGATGAGTTCAGAGATCATATAAAGAACACACTGATGTGTCACAGTGCACATTCAGCTGATTTGAAGGTGGCCTTCAGACCTGTGAAGGTCTCCACTGAATCATCTACATCTTCATCCTAAGAAACAGCACCTGCAGAAGATGTGAGAGACAGTGTATCTGCACCACCCAATTTCCACCAAAACCAGCCTAATGGAACTCAGCAGAGTTCAAACACTCCAGAATTTAATATAATAAACCCAAACTCAATACAGTGTCCACATTCATCACAGATTCAAGTAGCCAACAGGCTCAGCAATATGAGGGTTAATTAATGGGGCAATACCCCAGCAACCAATCATCATGCTCCACTAGACCAGGGTCCTATACGAAGCTTATTTACCATGAAGTACTGGTGCTTCATATTTGAGCTAACAAAAAAAATCTATAAGCACAATCTTAAGGTAAACATTTTGATTCCTTCTTTTGAAAGATGTTTAATTCAGCAATAAGGTTTTTCCTACATTGTTCAGGTTCTTAAGGATCACCTGAACAACACTTTCAGTGGCTTCCCAAAGGTCCAGTCACTGCCGGTAGTCTAATAATGCTGGGCAATGCACTGCAAATATGTATCAAATGTTGTATGTTTCTGTTATGATACTGTGCATATTTTTACCTTTTACCTTTTGCTTGTACCAATAGAAGAACCTTTTTGGGTGCTATATAGAACCCTTTTCAACAAGGTTCTTTATACAACTGACTATAGCACATCCATGCCAATTTTCCATCAAGCTGAAGGACCCTTTAATGATGCAAAGAACCCGTAAAATCACGCAAAGCGTTCTTTGGGTGTTCATGTGTCTATATAGAACCTTAGTTAAGAGTGTACACAGGATATCTACAACCCCATTTCCAAAAAGGTTGGGACACTGTGCAGAATGTAAATGAAAACAAAATGCAATGAGGTGCAAATTATTTAAACCCTGTATTTATTTGAAAATAGCACAAGGACAGCATATCAAATGATAAAACTGAGACATTTTAATGTTTTTTGAAAAATGTCTGTCCATTTTGAATTTGATGGCAGCAACACATTAAAAAAGTTGGGTGTCGTCACCTGCTTTTTTAACAACACTCTGTAAGTGTTTGGGAACTGAGGAGACACTGCTGTAGTTTAGAAAGTGAAATGTTTCTCATTCTTGTTTGATACAGAATGTCAGTTGATCATCAGTTCAGGGGTCTTCTTTGTCATATTTTTCATTTTATAATGTGCCAAATGTTATCAGTGGTGACAAGTCTGGACTGCAGGCAGGTCAGTTTAGCACCCTAACCTTTTTACTATAGAGGCTTGCTGTGGTAAGATGTGCAGAATCTAGTTTTACATTGTATTGCTGAAATAATTAAGACCTTCCCTGAAAAAGACGTCGTCTGGGCGACAGCACATGTTACCAAAACATGCATATATCATTCAGCATTAATGGAGCCATCACACATGAGCACATCACCCATGCTGTGTGCACTAATGCCCCCATACCATCATGAATACTGGCTTTTGAACCGTGCCCTGATAACAAGCTGGGTGGTCTGTAGCCCGGAGGACACAGTGTCCATGATTTCCAAAAAGAATTTCAAATGTCGATTCATTGGACCACAGGACACTTTTCCACTTCACCTCAGTCCATTTTAAATGAGATCAGGCCCAGAGAAGGTGGCAGTGTTTCTGGATCCTGTTTATATTTGGTTTCTTCTTTGTGTTTTACAGTTTTGACTTGCATTTGTGGATGCAGTGATGAACTGTGTTCACAGACAGTGGTTTTCAGAAGTGTTTCTGAGCTCATGCAGTAAATTTCCACTACAGAATCATGTCTGTTTTTAATGCAATGCCTGAGGACCCAAATATCACAGCCAGTAAATACTGGTTTTTGGCCTTCTCCCTTACATACAGAGATTTCTCCAGATTCTCTGAACCTTTTAATGTTATTATGTACCGTAGATGATGAAAAACAAAAGTTCTTTGCTATTTTATGTTGAGAAACGTTATTCTTGAATTGTTGCACTATTTGATGGTGCATTCTTTCACAGAGTGGTGAACCCCTCCTCATCTTTACTTCTGAAGACTCAGCCTCTCTGAGATGCTCTTTTATACCCAATCATGTTACTGACCTGCTGCCAATCAACCACCAGTTGTTTTTTTAGTATTACAAACTTTTTTGGAATGTGTTATAGGCATCAAATTCAAAATGGGAGAATTTTTCAAAAAACAATAAAATTTCTCAGTTTCAACATTTGATATGTTGTCTTTGTACTGTTTTGAAACAAATTTAGGGTTTAAATTTGCTCATCAATGCATTTTATTTTCATTTACATTTTGCACAGCATCCCAACTTTTTTGGAAATGAGGTTGTACCTTACTGTAAGGGTGGATTATCTCCTTCATAAATCCATGTAAGCATCGATCACAGATCTGCAGCAGCTGTTTTCCTTGCACTGACTCTGTTGTGGGAATTTATTGTGTACACTATCCGCTGATTTAAGGAACCGTATCTGCTGTTATGCAACTTGACTTAAAGTCCCAATATTACAGATAATCCTGACGACTAGTTTGAGGATCATTTCAAACACTCACTGTGCTCCTTTACCTTAAATACTCTGCTTTGTTTTCTAAAGAATAAGACTAAGACTAAAATTGCTTGTAATTTTGTACAAAATACATGAAAGAAAAACATCACAATCAGCTAATAAACAGATAACATGCATTTTAAACAGTATGTTATACATTTTAATCTGATTTATGTGCACTTAGTCTGAAGTCTAGCTCTTACCATCTCCTGCACTGATGTGACTTTGATAAGTGGAACAATGCAACACATTTGATGTGATTATTAAGAGGAATGTTTAATTTCAGAATGTTTACATCATCCAGTAAGTTACAGTATCCTCATTGTTCCAGGGCATCAGTCTGAAAAGTGAGCTGCCTTCAGCCATTCAGTACAAAGTCTCCCCATAACAGCTACACATCCTCAGCCCCTTTAGCTAGAACCTCTCAGCTTCCCTTTAGTCCCTAAATGATTTGTTATTAGTGCTGTTATTCATTTGTTTCTACTTTCTTTCTTGCCTATTGTTACCTATTAAATAATAGAGTGCATTATATGTTTACATTAACAGGCTTATTATTTAGCAACAAATTGAAAATTAGCATGAGATTCTTTGGTAAGTACAACTTGTTACCATATTATTACTATTTTATTACCCACTTATTATCAATTTGTAAAGTGCTACCACATTTTTGTTGTCTTTCCTTTTGTCTCCCAAAGAGCTCCATACATTCTGCCTAAGAAATTTTCTGCCAGAAATGTTTTGAAGATTCAAATGGTGACATTGATTTAAAGTCTTAAGGTTTTAATGAGGTTTTTAAACCATGCTGGCCTTATACACTCTATTTGAGTTGAGAGAACAGAGTCACTCTTCACTGTGGGGGGTGGAGATAATGGGAAATTGTGTGTGCTATGCTAACTAAGCCTGACTCCTGCCTTGACATGCTGGAGTGCAGATATTAGTGTTCACTTTAAGGAAATTAGTCACAATGTACTGGACTAAAACAGCTCTTGAATGGTTTTATTTTTACTTTTTATTTTTTAGAAATCAATATTAGAGCTGATCTATATTTGTAGACACCTTTATGTCTGCGGAATGTTTATATATTTTTTTATGTTACTCTGAAGTGTTTTTAATACGTGATTTCACATATGAATGTTCATAATGAAACTGTAACACTGCAAATAATGAAACTAGTATGATGCACCAATCATCAAACGACGTATTTCCTTGAAGCATGTATTTGTATGAGTGTTTCTGCCAGTTTCATGTTTCTCTAGGCTTCATTTTGTTTTTTAGTGATTTGATTGGGGAACATTCAGCTCTTGTAAATCTGTAAAATTAAATCTGATTTATTATAATTTGTGTACAATCTAAGAAATGTACTTTCTATTGGGAGGTGTCTGTCCCAAACCCTAACCCCTAAATTTACACTTGACACAATAATACTTAAAACATTTTTTCCAATGATCTCACTTTTTTGTCCCAATTTTTCAAACAAAACAAAAACAAAATATACCCTGGAGAATAAGAGGCTAAGTAAATCAGTGAAAATTGGTCTGAAACATTAAGAGTTTTCACAGCTGAAGCACATTTTCTGCAGTTAAGTAAATATTTTAGTGTTTTAATAAAAAACATTAATGATTTTCTGTGTGTACAGCTGTTCAAAGCTGTGTTTGCTGGTCATGTACTGGCTGTGTTTTTGAGTCACTGCTAAAACATTTGGTACAGTTAAATTTCTGTACTGTTCTGATTGTTTTGGTAGTGACAAAGTGGAAGGTTCAATGATATGTTTTGATAAAATAAACATAATTAAGGTATGAGGTCACTCCATATAGCACATTAACTACAATAAAAACAGACATCGACCGGCCACTTCATTAAAACTTTCTCCTTGTTTTTACAGTCATTGTCCCTTTTCACACTGCTGGTTTTCTACACCACTTCAAACTTATTTTACACCAAAAAATTTAATAATTTAATACCTAGAAGCAAACAGATAATATAGTACCAATTATAAACGTCCTGGGATGAATTCATCCATTATCAGACATACATGTATGATCAATATTTATTACAGATATGTCAATACTAGATACAGGTACACAACATATGTGCATATATTTCAAAATACATGCCTGACCCTTGATTTACATGTATATATGGCTACCTATGAGCTTTTTAGACTTTCTTCCTTAATCAGATCTCCATTTACCATCTTATCACTCTACTAGAATATTTTTTTTTATTATTTTACCATTAAGACGAGCACCTCCTGTTAAAAATGTCGGAAATTTATCACTTACCGACAGAGGTGTGGACGGAGGAAGGACAAACACTATGCAGCAGGTCTAAACATGCAGCTTTTTAAAAAACCCTGAAGGAAGAAGAAACAGAAGGACAATAAGTGGGAGAGGGAGGTGAAGCTCTCACGCTAGAGCAAGAAAACAGTCTGGGTGTTCAGCAGCTCTACAACACACAGCAAAACAGAATACACACTGATTTATCAGGATTACTGATTCAGCAGACATGGACTGGAATAAGACTGACATTAACAATACATTGCCAGGTAAGCTACATTTCCATATTACACTGGAGAAAGTGATGGTTTGATTCAAATGTTTTGCATATACTAAGACCTACAACTGCATCAGAACTACTTCTAGTGTTAGTTTACTTCTTCTGGGAAGATTTGTGTTGATGTAATTTTATTCACGTCAGATTGACAGATTTAACATGTATTTGTCACTTCAGAGCACAATTTTTTTCTTTCAGTGTAAAAGAAAAACGATGTACACCACTATGTCATCACTGTCATTGTCAGAACAAAAACCTGTATCTCCATGTTTGTTGGTTTTTGTTTTCATAATTAAAAAATGGCACTTTACACTGTGTTATAATTTCATGGCAAAAACAACAGAATTGGTTCAGAATTACTCAAAATAAAGATTCCTTACATGAATTACATAAAGTTAACAGTGTTTTCTTCTCCTGTAAAGATTTTGGGGATACATGGTTTTGATTTTGAGGTTTTGACAGCAACGATATATGAAATCTGTAAGCAAAACCCCAAAATATTTGTTTTTTTTTCTGTTACGAAACAAAACATCTGGAGTCAAAAAGATCCAACAAAAAAAGGTGTGTTTTGAAAAAGAACTGTGACGAACAGAGAATTAAAACTCCATAGCACTCTATTATCTGAAAAGTGAAAATGCTTTATTAAGGTGTGTAAAGCAGTAATAAATATGTGTTCTGAGGTTGTCACACCAAAGAAAAATCTGTCATTAATGACCCAGCCAAAATTTGAATGATTAAAAAATTGCCAAGTATAAAAAATAAGCAATATTTTCTGCTCTGAAATGAAACCATGCCCAGTCAAAGGAAAGGTACAGGCTCTCTTCACCTTCATATTCGCCTCCTGTTCCAATTCTCCAGTTCCACCTTAAATGCTGCAGCAGTTACATTAGTAAAATGCAACACTGAAGTCACATTCTCGTCTGAATTTTTCCTGTTTCACCTTAAATGGTGCAGTAGTTAAATTCTGAGAGTATGAAGTTGAGGTCAGGTGTCTGTTGGTACAAACAACAGAACAGAATGTAACTGCTGTACCATTTAAGGTGGAACAGGGAAAATTTGAACAGAAAGCTGACTTCAAAACAAATTTTAGCATGTCCATCATCTCGCTAGGTAAGGCAGCAAAGCTTCTTTTGGATTTAAATGAGGTCGTTGGCAGCGCTTCCACTATAACACAGAAGTCGCTCCGTCTAGAAACTTAATGTCATAAATGTTTGAGCCACCAGAGCCAGAATCGAATTCGGAGTCAAAGGACACTGACCTACCTGAGAATTGACCTCTCAATCTGTGAAATAATGGTTAATATTTGTCCCATTTATGCAAGTTAGCAAAAGGTATTGCTGACCAGCATAACCTAGGCAAGTGATGAAGATCAGTTCTCCACAATTCAGTAGTACATAGTTAACAGGCTTATCACGTTATCAGCAATCATTTTCTAACATGTGTAAAGTGTTTAGAAACAAATTTCAGAATTATGAACACAGACTTTAACTACATAGAAAATCTGCTTTCGTCGTCTGTTCATTACAGTATTTTTTGGTTTATCCTGCTAATTTACAGGAGATAAAACATGAGAATAATAAATAAATAAATGGTAATGACATTTATTTACATGTAATCAGTTAAGCAGACTAGACAAGACTAGTTAAGTAGATTAGAAGTGATAATGATTGATTAATTTTGCTTTGGTTGTCCACAATGAGAATGTTTACATGTACAAAAGAAATTAGATTTTGGCAGAAGTTCTAATGCTTTCATAGATATTATCATTATTGTCTTGATTGGTGTATTTTTTATTTCTTATTCTTCTTAGTATTGTTGCTATTACTTTGGCTTACATCTTGTAGGTGTTCTATGAATTTTATTTGTTGTTATAAATTAATATTACTTTTACTATATTCTTGTTGCTTTTTTGTTCTATATGTCTATGATATTCTCTTAATGCACAGTCCTGTGTGTTGACTGTAGACTTATTTGTTTGACAAAACTTAAAACAGCTAAAAGAATTTTCTTTCTTTTGACAGAGATTGAGCTTTATATCATGGTGCCATCATGGAATGAAAGAAGTGAAATATTGCCCCCTGGATCACAGAGTGGGCTGAACATCTCTGGCGTCAGTTTACCTAAAGGTCAAGACATACGTTTGCTAGAAGGAAACCTCACCACAGTCTTCCTCCCTCTCATTTACATCATCGTCTTCATTGTGGGGTTGCCCACTAATGCAACATCCCTCTGGGTGTTCCTCTTCAGGACAAAAAAGAAGCATCCATCGTCCATCCTAATGGCCAATCTAGCACTGGCTGACCTGCTCTTCATCATTTGGCTCCCACTGAAGATCACTTACCACTTCAACCGCAATAACTGGACCTTCGGGGAGCCACTGTGTAAAGTCCTAGTGGGGTTTTTCTATGGGAATATGTACTGCTCCACTATCTTCATAGCATGCATCAGTGTCCAGCGCTACTGGGCGATTGTGCACCCACTTTCTCGGAAACTGAGCAACCATGTAACAGTGCGTGTATGTGTTTGTGTGTGGATTGTAGTCTGGCTCCTCACTGTACCACTCTACCTGTATAAACAGACTATTAAAGTCAGCAATCTCAACATAACCACCTGCCATGACGTCACTTGCCCAAACCAAACACATTTTCCTGTTGGATATTTCCTGACCATGGGCATTGTGGGATATGTAGTTCCCTGTGTGGTGTGTACAGTGGCGTATTTGCGAATATTATGCTCTCTCAGGAAATCTATGAATGTCAGCAGCAACAAGCAGAAGCGGAAGGCTATAACCCTCATGATCATTGTGCTGGTGATGTTCCTGGTCTGCTTCACTCCCAGTAACATCACACTGATGGTACATTTCTCTCTGCTGGCTCGAGGGACTGGGAACAACACTTACGGCTTGTACATCATCATGCTGTGCCTGTCCAGCCTCAACAGCTGTCTGGACCCATTTGTGTATTATTTTATCTCAGATGAGTTCAGAGATCATGTGAAGAACATGTTAAGTTGTCACAGTGCACGTTCAGCTGATATGAAGGTGGCCTTCAGACCCGTGAAGGTCTCCACAGAATCTTCATCTTAGGAAACAGCACCTGTAGAGGATGTGAGAGACAACGTACCTGCACCACCCAGTTTCCACTGAATCCAATATAATGGTACTCAGCAGCATTAATGAGCTTTCTAGAGTTCTCTAGTTCAACTATTCAAACACTCCCGAATATAATATCATACATTACACACTATATCACAAACTCAACACAGTGGCCACATTCATCACAGATTCAAGTAGCCAGCAGGATCAGCAACATGAGGGTTAATTAATCGGCAATGCCCCACCAACCAATCATGCCTCACTAAACTAGGGTTCTATAATAAGCTTTTTTGCCAAGATGTACTTGTGTTCTCAATTTGAACCAGCACAAACAATCTTTACCCCTAACAAACTCTACAAAATACACTTTCTCCTAGTTTTCACTTCTCAGGGCACTTAAACACTCAATACGGGAGATTTTTCTGTTGTATTTGACTGTGTTCACGAGGCAGAACTCAAACTCCACTGTATGCTGTACAAGGACCACTCATTTTACTGCAGTTCAGGGTGTTTTGCTGCTGAGAAATCAACACGCCTGACTTTAATTTGCTGGGACTGTATTGACCAATCTAATCACTGCAAACATGTATCAGGTGTTGTCTGTTATGATACTGTACACGTATTCAACCAGTGAGATGTACGTTCACTGCAGTGAGACCACAGAAACAAACGCACATAATGAAGTTGTAGACTATCAAAGTTGTAAATTGTAAATAGCAAATGTGAGTATTTTGTAGAAAACTGTAAAACCTCAACTTTTTCTACGTTTCTATAGCTGCAGGCTGCATGTATTGGATGTATTATTATAGGATGCTCTGTATGTTGGTGGAAGATGTCTGGTGTAGGTGTCAGACAGGCCTACACACTTAATCCAAATGCCCAACCATGCCATACCAGACTAAGCCGCCAAGAGATTTCACCCAAAGAGTCTAGACCACACTTATGCAGCACTGGCTCCCTCTGGAGAATTTAAGTGGAAGGCAAAAACAAAACTATCAGTGTGTTCCATTCTGGAGGCAGCTGCCTACGTCACTACCTTCAAAGGGTCCTCTCTCGTTGGCCAACAAAGGAACTTTTGTAGACATTGCATTTGGGACCAGAACCATAGTACCTCATACACTCTTAAAAAAGATGGTTCTTCCAGAGCTCTTTGGTAAACAAATAAGTTCTATACAAAATCATGAAGACTCAAATGACCCATGATAAAAGTGCATTGTGAAAGGGTTCTTCATATTAACAGACAATGTGCTGTTGATGGTTCTATATGGAACCTTTTTTGAAAATGTATCTACCCTCTTTAATATTGTTCTATGTAGAACCAGCTATAGCACATACATGCACATTCTCCATCACTTTCATAATGCAAATAACCCCTTAATCAAGCCAAGGGTTCTTTGAGTGTTCATGTTTCTATATTGAGCAAATGTCTTTATTAAAGAACCTCTTTTTTATTAATGTGCTGTACACAGGATATCCACTTTACTGTAAAGGTTTATGACCTCTTCTATAAATCTGTGTAAAGATGGATCCCAGATCTGCAGCCACTGTTTTCCTTGCACTGACTCTGTTGTGGGAATTTATTGTGTGTAAAGAATCGGCTGATTTAATGAGTCATATCTGTTGTTATGTAACTCGACCTGGTGCCACAATACTACAGATAATCATGATGACTAGTTTGTAGATCATTGAAATTCATTCATTGTTCTCCTCCACCTTAAATAACCCACTTTGTTTTCTAACAAACAAAGAATGAAACTGCTTATAATTTTATACAAAATCCATGCAGGAAAAAGCAACTCAGACAATCAGCTAATAAACAGATAACATGCATTTTAAACAGTATTTTACACATTTTCATCTGATTTATGTGCACTGAGTCTGAAGTGTAGCTCTTACCATCACCTGCACTGATGTAGCTAGTATAAGTGTAACAGTGCAACATATTTAATGTGTTTTTAAGGAAAAAAACAGTTAATTTCAGAATGTTTACATCATCCGCAAGCTTCAGGATTCTCATTGTCTCATTATGTCAGTTTGTAGTGTCGTGTTTTTCCCCTTACATGCTGGAAAAGTGAACTGCCTTCAGATATTCAGTCTCACCGTAACAGCTGCTCTTCCTCAGCCCCTTTAGCTAGAACCTCTCAGCTTCTGTAATGTTCTTCTCCTTAATCCTTAAATTGATGTGGTATTATAGTTATTCATTTGTTTCTACTTTGTTTCTTACCTTTTATTATTATTATACCCATTAAATGGTCAGGTACAGAATATGTTTAGAATTTACCAGCTTATTATTTAGTGACAATTTTTTGGTAAGTACAACTTGTTACCATATTATTACCATATTATTACCCACTTCTTATCAACTTGTAAAGTGCTACCATATTTTAGTGCATTTCTTTGTGTTCCCCAAAGAGCTCCATACATTCTTCCTAAGAATTTTTTTGCCAAAAAATCTTTTTTAGATTCAAATGGTGTCATTGATTTAAGAGTCTTAGGTTTTAGAGAGGTTTTTAAGGTATTCTGGCTTTACGAGCTCTCTTTGAGTCAAAAGTGTGAAACATTTGAATGTTTGAATTCATACATTGAGTGTATGAAATCATATCTGAGCAGCCCAGAGTTTTCTGAAAATAAAAACATATGGCATGTGTGACTGTCACAAGTACATACTTTCTAATTGCAGTTGAAATAGTAATTGATTGAAAACATCCCCACAATTCTGGAGTTCTATTGGTAAATTAATAAACTGATTTTGTTTATCTGAATAAATTAGTTGCTGAAACCACTTTTAAATCCACATTTTCATTTTTGATACTTTAAGTCGTTTAAGTGTCATCTGCTTGTATCTACACTCACTGTCCATATTATCAGCTCCACTGACCATATAGGAGCACTTTGTGGTTCCACAGTTACAGACTGTGGTCCATCTGTTTCTCTGCATACTTTACGTGCAGAGGTGTGGATGTTGGAAGGACAAACACTATGTAGCAGGTCTGCACAGGCAGCTTTTTAAAAACCCTGAAGGAAGAAGAAACCAAAGCACGACAAGAGGGTGAGAGAGGTGAAACTCCTATGTTAGTGCAGGAAAACAGTCTTGGTGTTCAGCAGCTCTACAACACACAGCAAAACAAAATACACACGGTACATAAATCCTATTGGAATTGATCTAATTTTTCTTCTTCTTCTTCTTCTTCTTATTATTATTATTATTATTATTATTAGATTTTCTATGTAGCAAATTAACCATTTTTTACTTTTTGGATAGAAAAGTGCTGTGGCTTTCTTCCTCTGTTCATTATAGTATTTTCTGGTATAACCTACTAATTTATGGACATAAAATATGAGTAAAAATAAATAAATAAATAAATACAATATTTTTTCTATATATTTTCTGTATGTTTTGAGGTAGACAAGAAGCAATAATGTTCAGTTAATTTTGCCTTGTCACTATGAGACTGTTTACTTGCACAAATAGTTGGATACCTGCAAGAAAAAAATATTTTATCAGTAATTTTTGTACGTTAATCTGAACAACAATGAATTATATATTTAGCTAAGTTTTACATTGTTGTCATTAGTATCATCATTCCTTTCTTAATTCTTCCTTTTCCTTCTATTATTGTTATTTTATTGCTTAGTTTTTGAGTGTATGTGTGTGTGTGTGTGTGTGTGTGTGTGTGTGTTTACAGAGATCTAATGATTATAATGACTATATGAAAAAATGATAATGATAGCTAGAATGATAGATATACAGACTCAGATCTTGGTGGGATTATGGAACTCCAGAAAAGACACATATGGAAATACAATGATTCCTGATACTGCACACTCTGGATCACATCATGGGCTGAACAGCACTGACATAAGTTTACCAAAGAGTGATGACATACATTTGCTGAAGGGAAACCTCACGACAATCTTCCTCCCTCTCGTTTACATCATCATCTTCATTGTGGGCTTGCCCACCAATGCAACATCCCCCTGGGTGTTTGTCTTCAGGACAAAGAAGAAGCATCCAGCATCCATCCTAATGGCCAATCTAGCACTGGCTGACCTGCTCTTCATCGTGTGGCTCCAACTAAAGATCACCTACCACTTCAACAGCAATGACTGGACCTTCGGGGAGCCACTGTGTAGAGTCTTAGTGGGTTTTTCTATGGGAATATGTACTGCTCCACTGTCTTCATAGCATGCATCAGTGTCCAGCACTACTGGGGGATTGTCCACCCATTTAACCTAACCCTAAACCTTAACTTCAATGCAAAACCTACACCTACTCCTAACCCTAACCATAACCATACTGTTGGTGATAATTAACTGAACATCACCAGAAAGTTTGTTAGTGATTTAGGTATCTGTAGAGCATCTATCAGATCTATCTATCTGTGACCACCAGTTCTTATTGGTTTTGCTTCCAATGTAAAACTATCAAGGCAGTACAGTTACTGTAATTGCATGATGATTTTACATTTTCTAAAACAGTGTTGTTAATTATCTAAACTACTATGTGAAAAATTAAATGGTAGATAATATTGCTAACTTAGATAAAAAAAAACACTGCTAAGTAGAATGAGGTGATGGGACTAGAGTTGGAGTGCAAATCACTAGTTTTTCAGACTGATTTCCACTGCATTTTAGCTTAAAAATTAATTTAGATTTAGATTTTTCTGTTGTATTCAGCTGTGTTCAGGTGGCAGAACCCAACTTCCACTGTATCCTGTGCCAGGACCACTCGTTTTACTGCAGTTCAGGAAGTTTTGCTGCTGACAAATCAACACACCTGGCTTTAATGTAATGGGACTGTATTGGCTAATCTAAAAAAGCTGGGCAATGCACTGCAAATATGTATCAAGTGTTGTTTGTTTCTGTTATGCATGTTTTTATCCAATGAGATAGATATTTACTGCTGGGAGACCACAGCAAAGGCAAAAAATGTCTTATGACATTCTAAAGTTCTTAAGTAAACCATGACAGTTGACAGCAGTGCAGGTCACTCATTAGTTTAGTTTAGGTTAGTTAGGCTTCTAGTGACAAGTAAAACCAATAGGCTCATTTTCTCATCTCACTCTGTAACTACAGTAGCATTCAAAGTCAATGGGAAGCAGGAAATCAACACTTTTGTATTTACGCACAACAAATGCATACAATGACTTTGTAGGCTATAACATTGTAAATTTCAAATAGCGAATGTGGGCATTTTGCTCGCACTGTAACTGCAGGCTGAGTGTACTGAATGCACTGTATGTTGGGGGGAGACGTTTGGTGCAGATTGTGCTACAAACTCAATCCAAATGCCCAACCGCAGCTACACTGGTTCTATACAGTACCACAAAAAGGGTTATTTGAGTTATAAAAGGTAAACCTAAAGGCTTTTCCTCCAGTGATTGGCCTTTTTCACTCAGCCCTGGTGGGAATTTTTCTCACCACTTCTTGTCTCTGCCTCCCTTCCTCTGGGATGTCCTGCTGTAGTTTCACTTGGGAAGCGGGTGACAGGCGGAGCAGAACGCCTTGCCCTTTTAATGATTCAAACTGCTTGCTCCCTTGAAACATGCTTTTTCATCTCGTAAGGAATGCTGTGTGATAAGGCGTTTATGTAACATTGCCTATAAACGCTGTGTATATTGTGCAATAAACTGAATGCTTTGCTCACAAGAGATAAACTGCTGTTCCCAGAGCTCTGCAGGGGAGAGCGAGGACAAGGGTGAGGGCCAAGGTCGGATGGAATGAGAGAATGAGATGAGTCTAATTTTTTTAGTGTACAAACACAAACAGTGTCACATGAACATTATAAACATTTAGTCTCTAACCACCTCTGTACAGCCTGCAACTGCTTTATTTGATTTTACTTAAATTTTAATATGACTTTTGGTATGGTTTAGCTATGTCTTAGCTATGGATTTTCCTTTTACTCTTTTACTTTTGTACTCTTTTCTCTTTATTTTTGTCATTATTTCTATTCTTTTTATTTCTTTTATTAGTATTCTTTTTATTTATTTTATTATTGTCAACTTATTGTCTTACATCTATTTCTTTTATTTCCTTAATTTATTTCATCCTTATCTGCTCTAAGTTGTTATATTTTAACTTTAAACATCTATTGATTTAACAGTTTATTGGTGGCTTCTTATTATTAAATTTTACTTATGATTTAATTATTTTTGTTATTTAACTATAGCATTTGATTTAGTTTTTTTTACTGTACAACTTCTCAATCCCTGATTCCTGCATTACTCAGCTACATTGTAAATGAGGGTCTCCCTCAATGTATTCTGAGTTTAAATAAATGTTGATTGATTGATTGAAACAAATCATTAGAATTTGATAATTATTTGTCACAATGCAGTAATATAATTATTTGTTCTGTGGAAGGGTCAACGTTATTCTGTCTTTACGATCAACTACACCAAAAAACACTGTCATGATGTAAAAGTGAGTAACAGCTGTGTAACTAAGCCCACTGGACAAACATTTAGTCACCTGTGACTGAAACGTACCTAATAGCATGCAAGACTTCCATGAACATGAATAATAGCTGCGATATCAAAGAATTGAGCAGTCCTGCCAGATTTCATGGAGCCTTCCCTGGAGTCTTACTTGCTGTTCCAGGTCACCCTACAAGAGAGATTTTCAAGAGGATTCAGATCTGGGGATTTTGCGGGTTGGTCCAGATGTGAAAACACTCCTGAACCTTAATCATGCCAATCAGTCACATTTTCAGCCCTGTGAATGCTTGAATCTTGGAATACAGGAACAGGAATGTTATGTTCCTGTAAGATGAAAGCAAAAGGCAAAATCTGATCGTCCAGCAGCTCAATGTTGGCACAAATTTAGTGTTGCATTAACCAAACGACCCATTTCAGCATAATTTAAACACCCCCAGATCACAGAGCTCCTCCGGCTTGAACCCCAGCTGCACACAGTCCTCATCAAAGGCTTCCTGAGGTCGATGATAAACACGACGCCAAGCATCATTCACACACAGGCAGACACCAGATTCATCTGACCAGATAACACATTTCCAGTCATTAACAGTCCAGTTTTTGTGTCTCATTGTCAACAAAACATAGAATATTTTAAATTTATACAACAGTTAGTTCCGGCCACGCTGATTGGTTGAGAAGCGTTTTTTCACAAACACTGAATCACTCCACTGATACGTCATTGCTAAGCAATGACTCTGTCAGCTGTAGGAGACGCTCAAGCCATTTGAACGTTTTTACTTCTTACTTTGCAGAAACAGAAAATGGACACTTTTAAGATCACATTTGACCGACAGCTGATTTGGTCAGACTCTGAAGATGAGACGACACTAAATTTCCAAACTGTCATCACCACTGAGCAGCTTTTCAGTCGGCAGCTGTGAGAGAATAAAATCATTTTGTTTCTTCGAAAGTAAAACTGTTTTTAAGAATGTAGTATTATTTTGTTAATCCTCAATGAATTCTGTCTGTAGTTATAATTTTCCCAGGAGACTTCACATACATTAAATGTGGTTGGCTGTATGATGGTAAGATGAGGTAAATATCAAAAATGTGTTGCTACATTTACTATTGTAGAGTGACAGTAATTATTTATCATTTTAGCTAAATACTCAGTATATACCCATGTATTTAATAATGCAGGCTGGGGGTGAAACCTGGACACCTGCACTCCAAGACCAGAGCTGTGCATTCCTGGTCTACAGTTTGAGTATCTGGTGTTGGTGTAGAGCAGCTGAAGTGCAGAAGATTGGCTAATTTATTGACAGCAGCTTTAAAGCAAGAACAACCAAACATGGTGTGCTGCCTCTGGTTGTAAGTCTTCAGTGTGCCGTGAGTTTCTTATTAATTAAATCACCATTTACCTTTTTGTATTTTTACCTCATTTTTTTTTTATTTTACCATTAAAGTAGCACTTCCAGTGTTCAAGCTCTGGAGATCTATTCAAAATGAGGCTTAATATGTAGAAAGACTGGGACTTTAAGGGGTTTCAACATTTCAAGGAGCAATATTTTACTTATTTCCTGTTTTAACCCCTAAACATAGCACATGCATGATCAATATATTTAGCATATATGTCAATACTTGATACACTATATTTCCAAAAGTATTCAGTCACCCATCCAAATCATTGAATTCAGGTGTTCCAATCACTTCCACAGCCACAGGTGTATAAAACCAAGCACCTAGGCCTGCAGACTGCTTCTACAGACATTAGTGAAAGAATGGGTCGCTCTCCGGAGCTCAGTGAATTCCAGCGTGGTACCGTGATAGGACGCCACCTGTGCAACAAGTCCAGTCGTGACATTTCCTCACTACTAAATATTCCATAGTCAACTGTCAGTGGTATTATAACAAAGTGGAAGTGATTGGGAACAACAGCAACTCAGCCACGAAGTGGTCGGCCACGTAATATGACAGAGCGGGGTCAGTGGAGGCTGAGGCGCATAGTGCGCAGAGGTGGCCAACTTTCTGCAGAGTCAATCACTACAGACCTCCAAACTTCATGTGGCCTTCAGATCAGCTCAAGAACAGCGTAGAGAGCTTCATGGAATGGGTTTCCATGGCCGAGCAGCTGCATCCAAACCTACATCACCAAGCACCACTGGACTCTAGAGCAGTGGAGACGTGTTCTCTGGAGTGACGAATCACACTTCTCCATCTGGCAATCCGATGGACGAGTCTGGGTTTGGCGGTTGCCAGGAGAACGTGTTTTTTTAAGCATTAACCAACTTTACCAGCCTTTTGTTGCCCCCTGTCCCAACTTTTCTGGAAGGTGTTGTTGGCATCAAATTCAAAATTCAATATATTTTTCAAAAAACAATAAAATATCTCAGTTTCAACATTTGATTGCATTTTGAATGAAATACACCTTTTAAATGATACGCACATCATTGCATTTTCTTTGTATTTACATTTTTCACAGCATCCCTACTTTTTTTGGAAATGAGGTTGTACATTCTTCTTTAGCTCCAAGTTGCAAAAAATGCAACATGCACTGGATGCATTATAGTGATTTGCTGTACATGTAGGTGGCAGCACTGGGGTACAAGCTTAATCCAAATGCCTAACTATGCCATACCAGACATACCACAAAGCACTTCAACCAAAAAGTCTAAACCCTACCTTAATTGCACAACACTGGCTCCCTTTTGAGTTTTTTAAATGGAATGAAACAAACAGACACGGTCAGTGCGTTCCATTCTAGAGGCGGCTGCCTACATCACTGCCTTCAAAGGCTCCTCTCACACTGAGTAGCCTTTATCCAAAAAGAAACCTGAGTCGCCATCGGATTCAGGACACTCTCAGAACCATCAAAAGGCACTTGTTAACCTATACTTAACCTAAAATTGCCTCAGTGAATAAGGATGGATCCTGAATTTACAGCAGCTGTTTTCCTTTAACTCTGTTGCAGGAATTTACTCTTGTGTAAAGAACAAGCTGCTTTCAGGAGTCATTATATACTCAACTTGGTGCTCCAACATTACAGATAAATGTGATTACCTTATGAATCATTTCAATTCACTCACTGTCGTCCTCCACCTTAAGGAAGCTGGTTTGTTCTTAATGCACAAAAGTTAAAACAATTTATTTTGTACAAAATGCTTGAAGAACAAAAGTATTGTGCACAAATTAGGTTAGAGGGCTAAAAAGTATTTTACACATTTACACCTAGTCTGAAAGCTCTCAACTCTCACCTGCACCGATGTGACTGTGATAAGTGTAAGAATTCAAGACAAACAGGTCAGGCGAACATAAGCATTTGCTGTGTTTATTTAGATAAAATGTAATTTTGGAGTGTTTATGTCATCCGGTAAGTTACAGTCCTCTAATTGTTCCAGGAAGTCTGTCTGTAGGGCAGTGTTTTTACCCTCATAAGCTGGAAAAGTGAGCTGCCTTCAGCCATTCTGCACAAAGTCTCCACGTAACAGCTTCTCTTCCTCAGCCCCTTTAGCTAGAACCTCTTAGCTTCTGTAGTGTTCTTCTCATTACTCTCTAAATATTGTGTTATTAGTGCTGTTATTCATTGTTTCTAATTGGTTTCTTACCTACTATTAGCCATCAAATGGTCAGGTGCAGTATATGGTTACAATTACAAGCTTAATATTTAGTAACAACTTGAAAATTAGTTGAAAGTCTTAGTAAGTACAACTTGTTACCATATTATTACCATATTATTACTCACTTATTATCGATTTGTATAGTGCTCCCATATTTTTGAATTTTCTTCTGCCTTCAACACATTATTACTGTCTTTCCTTTTGTTTAAAGTGCTCTATACATTTTGTCTAAGAAATTTATTCTCTAGCAAAAATGTTTTGAAGATTCTAATGGCAACATTGATTTAGGGCTCTTAGGTTTTAAAGTGGTTTTTAAATCATTCTCTTCTTACCAGCTCTCTTTGAGTCACAAGTACAGTACCACTGTTCCCTGTGGAGGGTGGAGATGATGGATAATTGTGTGTGCTATGCTAACTAAGCCTGACTCCTGCCTTGACAGGCTGGTGTGCAGATATTAGTGTTTTACTCAGCAGCACTTTATGCAAATTAATCACTGGATGAAAATG